CCCCATTAATGAAGTTAGAGTCTTCTGGCCACTTTGCTCTCTCAAACACAGCTTTATGATAAACCTGTATTTTTCCTGCCCAGTTCAAAAAAGCACCATTAAAGTTAATGCATTTCAGGTGTGAGGGCAACAAGAGAAGGGATGAATTTCTGTAAGTCTTTGGTCTTTGTCTCACTCTCTTTTGCAATGTGAAACTTAAAGCCATAACAACAATTATAAAGAAAATTGGCTTTTGTTGTAAACAAGTGTATGTGAGCCTGTGCATGTGCATATATATACATATATATATATATATACATATTTGTGTGTCTGTGTGTGTGCGTATCTTATGACAACAAAAGCTGATTTCCTTTAAGAACATCTGGTTTTGAAAACTAGGTATGATGTGAGCTAACCTGACATCTTCACAAGTTCCACAGGAATCTCTCTTTAACCTTGGAGCAATTTCCAGGGAGGGTTTTCGTTATGTAGACATCGTTTTGCTATACCGTATATTGCAGATGGTATTCTTACGCTTATGCCTTAAACTTTTTTGTTTGTGCAATGTGATATTTATGACTAAAGGAGAAAAAAAACCCACCTCTTAAAATACAGTTGTTTGACAGGACATAACTGAGATAACCAAATACAAATCACTCTTGCACTTACTGAGTTTTCTAAAAATGTATATGTAGGAGAGGCCTTATACATAGTTCAGTAGTTACTGGCTTCTCCTTTTGATGACTTCCTTTAGTGTTAACATTTCTTTATACTCTTAAGCTACCCATTTCACTGACTACTGGGTAACAGACTTCAAAAAGTGTAAAAAAAACCCCTACAACAAAAAAAATCCAGAAAGAAACTTGGAGAATGGATGCAGTTGTATAGTCAGTATTAGGATCTCTGCTTTTGCTAATGGCATGGGCTTTTTCCTTCAGAAAAGCCATCCTAACTCACCTATGTCAGCATAAGGGTCGTACACTACATGTGGATAAGGTACTGGTGTACAGGTGAGCACTGACAGTTGTTTCCCTGACTGCTTAGTAGTGTGTCGCATTTAAAGCAAACTTAATCAAGACTCGAAGACTTATAAAGTTAAGAGTTACAATTCATAAACGCATTTATGAATACTGAAGTGTTCATAGTTGCCTAAGGTGTACTGACATTAGTGTCAGAGTCCCTTGATCAGCATTTCAATGGGGCTTTCGTGCTCAGAGCTGCAATGCAGACCCGCGCAGAGTGCCAAGTCAGGGGTCCCACAGCCACCCCAAGGGCTGGCAGTGTCTCCACTGCCCTCAGTGTCCCCACTGCCCTCAGTGTCCTCAATTGTCCCCTATCCAGCTCCTGTCCCAGCTCAGGCCGTGAAGTTGTAAACAACTCTTCCATTGAGTTGAGCAGAAACAAATTCACCACCCTCCACAGCCTTGCCTTAGTGTTGGGAGGTAAAGCTAAACTCTGGTTTGAAATAAATGCCATGTCCCCAAATAGCAAATGCTCAATTGAACTAAACTGCAGGCCCGATTCACAAAAAAATACACAAACCCTTGTTCATTTCTGGCATTTTATCAACATCAGGTAGAGCACACGAATGAAATTCCGGCCAGGGAGGCTCTAATTTAAATGGACTCAGGGAAAACCAACCCATACAGGTACAGCAACTGTGAGTGATTTCTGGGCAAGGCAGGAGGAAAAGAGACTCTCATGCACTTGCCTTGTCCAACAGGTGAGTCAGTCACCTCACAACAGCCCCCAACAACAAACTGTGAAACACAAGATAGCTGAATGTGTTTGCATTCAGCTATTTAAACAAAATGCCTGGTTCTTCCCCTAGGATCTTGGACATGACACCCTGTTTGCTTGGGTTTGCCACTCACTGAACAGCAGGGGACTAATCATGAGGCCAAGACAAGCACAGGCAGCATCATCCAAATCGCTGTCTTAAAACCTAAGTTCTGCTCAAATGATTTACAGCTCTCTATATGGGGTCAATCTTTCCAGCAACAATTCCTCGTCTTGGAAACACAACGTTTATTTAATTTATGCTTTTTAAGATGGAAACATGATTGTAAAATATATTGAAGCAATCAGAACTCCTTTGCGTAGACACAATTAAGGTACGCTTTGTTCACCTCAGAGAAGCGTCTGCAGTAATGGCATGGATGCGGAAGGTCATTCCCTAACAGCTCCCCCATAGAAACACATACCAAAATAAATGGCTGAATGTCCTTAAGCAGTTTCAGGGCCTTCATGATATGAGAAGGTGATAACCTAAACCAAGAGCCCAGCTGAGAAGACCAGCCACTCAAAGTTGATTTGTTGGGGTGGAAACCCTCATCAGAGCAGCCAGAGGTAGCACAGGGATGAGGACTGAGCCACCGGCTTCGTGGGAGCACGTCATGGAAATCAGGATGCAGCATCCCTACTGGGTCAGAACCTGCATTCAGCCCTGCCTTTCTCACCAACGTTAATACTCTCAGGGATGGGAAAGTTAATGCGACTCATTTCTGTACAGGGTAATGGCTTTAAACTGCAAGACAGTAGATTTAGATGAGATGTAAGGAAGAATTTTTTTTACCATGGGGGTGGTGAGGCACCAGAACAGGTTGCCCACAGAAGCTGTGGCTGCCCCCTCCCTGGCAATGTTCAAGGCCAGGTTGGATGAGACTTTGAGCAACCTGATCTAGTGGAAGGTGTCACTGCCCATGGGAGGGGGGTTGGAACTGGACGGTTTTTACGGTCCCTTCCAGTCCAAACCATTCTGTGATTCTATGATACTCTTCCTACAGCACATGTCTTCACAACTGCTCACATGGGATTTGTTTATGAATTGGGCCATGCTTGCTATAACATTTGTGATTGATATTAAATGAAACAGTGAAAAAAATTCTACAGTAAATGTAGGACTATGATCGGGACTTCAGTTGTGGTCCCAGAGGTAACGTACACAGTATTTTGCTATATTTAACATGGTTAAAAAAAAGTCTGTATCACACTAGGTGCCCCTACAGTCTTAATGCATTTCATTAATATCTGTTTTAAGTTGCACAACCAGTTCCCAAGACAACCTCCTGTCCCTCCCCCCAAATAAACTAGTTTTAATAACAAGATAAATATGATGTGCTTCTCCTTGCTGAGTGCATTGACTTAAGGCATAGGCACAATTCCCCTCTTTGAACAGAGATGGTATAGTCCTGTGTCCCAATACAATTGTTATCCTGGGTGACCCTTTGCATTCAAATGTTGACTCAAGACATAATAATTAGAGGAATCATTCATTAACAAACAGTTTGAATTCATTAATTAGTCAGAAAGCATTACTGAAATAAAAGTAGATCATTCAATCCTTTTTCAGGAAAAAGTTTTATGGGTGTGCTGCTTTGTTAGGCAGCACCACACCTAATCTAAACTCTACAGAAATCTTTCCTTTGAGTTCAGGCAGTTTTGGATTAAGCCAGAATTGTTCATTTAAAAAAAAATAATTGAACCCTGGTACTCTCCAGACCACAAGAAAATACGTGGAAATCTGTTAAAAAAGGAATGGGCTAAATTATTTCTAAAGATTTCTGTCAGCTACATTTTATCTTGAAGACTGCTTGAAGAACACCAGCTTTGCTTAGATATCACTAGGGATGGGCACAGATCTGTCTTATTTGCACATGGGGTAATATTTTCAAAAGGATCTCAGTGGCTTAGAAACCTTGCTGTCCTCGTGAGATTTCCTGAAACTTGGATACTTTTGCAATAATTACTATATTTGTTTTTTCAAGGATTTTTATATGCATGTGGATAAAATTATGGGTCAGAACTCAGTGATCTGGGCTCTTCTCATAATTTTTCTAAGTTTGAACAGTGGAAGTAATGCTACCAAATCAGATTTTGTGTTCTATCCTGCCTGTAAATGACTCCTAGACTTTAAAATAAGGAAAAATGCAACCATGAAAAGATTCAACCACAGAGTTTTTGGGGCTCAAATTCTAGAGGAACCAGCATCCAAAGCCTTTGGTTTCCAGTAATCTGGGTTTGTCACAAACTTTATAAATCCTTAAAAAAGCCTGCTTTGTTGCCAGCATCTCTGATATTTGCAGTCTCCACCAAATCTAAGTGACCTTGAACTGTATATCCTGAAAAGAAAGATGACAAAAATTCTGGCATAGCATCTACATTACACACCTAATTTCTACAAATTTCTCAGTTTCTATGGGTAGAACAGGTAATTTTCTCTGTTTCTATAGGTATTGATAGGCAATGTCCAAATCTTAAATCTTCACACCAAATCTTTTCAAAATTAAAGGTTCTAATGAAGAGTGTATAGGGTGATCCGGGACACCCGTTAACTAAGGAGGTTCAGGATTTTCCTATTTAGTCCAACTTTCACAGTTTTTTTCCTCCCAAGAACTAAATGCAATGCCAGTTTTGTTAGCACAGAGATGACTTTAGGTTAGGGTTAGAGCTGATGTGTCACATCTGAATAGCACAAGGCATCCTTGGCCATGCCCAGGCAAGTCTCAAACCCCTTCAGAGAAATACATGATTATTCCATCAAGAAGATTGAGACTTTTGTACTAGCCAAGTGCAATCCATCTCTCCCAACAGGGAGCCATGCTTCAGGTGAAAATTAAAGAGCGTAAATGAACCTCAGGTATTATGGATCACTCTAGGTGATCACTACAGCACTGATCAGGGATATTTTGTTGGTGGGTTTTTTTTCATGTCACTGATTTAATGGTGCAAAAATAATCAGAGATGCTTCCTTTCTCTTTGTGTGTTCATAGGTCTACATTGGTTCCAGAGTCTTGCCCAGCCAGCAATCCCAATTCTCTGAGAACATGGTCAAAAACAGGGGGTGATCATTAGACTATATTAATACAGAAGGGTCCAAGGGAGCATCAAATCTAATTCAGCAAATTGTACCAGTAAATTTTGGTGTGGGAAAGAGAAATGCTACACAAATGTAACAGGGTCACCCTGGGATTCCTTGTACTGAAACATCATTTTACACAGAGGATATATATATTTTATATATATATATTTTTATATATATTCACACACACGCGCGCGCGCACACACAAAAAAAGTCTTTGATAGGCTTTCTGTGTTCTAGTAAAAATAGTTGGCAGCTGCAATCTGTGAGACTAGAACTGGCTTTTGTGCTGCCTGCGATGCCCCACTGCAAATTGTCTCTCAAAGGCAGACGCTTGTATTTATCTGGCAGGTCGAGCTAGTGCCTGCCTGAGACAGAAATAACCTCCCATTGGGACACACACAGAGCTCGTAGATTTTTTGCCTGGACCCTGCAGAAGAGGAAGATCCTTGAGGCAAGTTAGGTAGTTTGATTTTTGCAGAATTCAACGTTATCTGAAGTTGGAGGTGGAGAGAGAGAGAAAGAGAGAGACAATTAGTGGAGACCTGTTATTTTTGATCTTGTGTTTAAAGAAGCTTCCTTTGGACAACTCAGTTGCTACAAAAACTGGATAAGCAAGTCTATTAAGACGGGGAAGTCTAACACAAATCTGGGTAGGAATATTATCTGCCTTTACCATGAGCCATCTAAGACCCCCAGTTTGTTTCGACTAATCTACCCACTGTGTTTTCTTGTCTTGTAGCTTCCTGGGGCAACTCTGTGTTTGGGTTACCCCCACCAGAGGTACCCCAGTGCTAGGTGGGGAGTCCATATGGTTCACATCCACACGACGACTCTGCTCCTCCACTGGGACTTCTTGCACTGTGATCCCATTGCCAGTTACACTTGCAGGCTCACAGCACTGCCTTTTATGTATATTTTTTGCATATGTGTTACAGTTGTATGTACATTAAAAATAACTTATATGCTGTAACAGACGTGAATTTTTCCTTATAAAGCAGAACATAAAAGCGAAAATGTGGCAGCTCTTAGACACATGACAGCTACAGGAGAGTGCTCTACCATCACTGAGAAGAGCACAGTGCAATAACCTGCACACCAGAATATTACAGGGCAACTGACAGTATTTTCTCTTATCTTACAGTTACAGTAAGAGTCTCCAGTTTTAGTATCCAGCCATCTAATCTTCTGAAAGAGATAGGTCAATATATGCATTTTAAAAGCAATTTAGTATTAAAAACATTAAGGCAACTGCTTGCAGTAGTGAAATGCCTTGGATTTCAATTTTAGTATACTAGGTAGGTGTTTATTTTGTGGTTTTGAGAGTTTTTTATTAACACCCGTGGTCTGGCTTTGGAATGTCTTAAAATGCAAATGTTGAGAAATATCAGGAATTGGAAAAAAAATCCTATTCCATTTATTACACCTGACACTAAGATAGGAAAAGATTAGCTTATGTTGGAGCCCTATTGCCGGGAGGTTTGTGTTCAATGGGAAGATCCTCCTGCTGACGTTCTCGGTTGGTTCCCCAGTGGGAGGTCCTCAGCCACATCCTTTGGTGTCTTCCAACATTGTGGCAGGAGGAGGGGATGAGAACCACATGCCCATGTATTTTTGAGACACCAGAAGAGGCTTAACTCAACACTTATTTTACTTTTGTTCTGTGTTATCAGTTTTAGTTATTCTGTCTTCCGCTTTGGAAGTTTCCCCAGGGCAACAACCTGTCTCTTAATGTTCCCTTTCTTTCCAAAACGAAAACATCAGCTACAAAAGCTTTCAGATCAATACTGGTGAATTAAACTCTTCTTATAGAAAAATGTATAATAAAGATTTAATTATGCTAGACAAGTAAATCTTGTTTTAAAGTGACAAGGAAACAAAGAATTTAGGAGCACTGTGTATTTTACAGCCGCATAAATCTGCTTGAACAACAGATGCTATTATCCAAGCACTTTAAAAATAATGAATCAGCCTTTGCCACAGAGTGAGGCTCGTTTGCATATGACATGTTTAATCACTGGTAGCAGAAACTAAGCTAGGAAGGCCTGCTTCAGCAGTGCTTTCACACCAGTGTTTCAAATGGAGTGGCTCAGTGACTCAGAAGGCTGCAAAACTGCAGGAGATCTGTGGCTTGGTTTATTTTTACTGCAGGGCTTGACGTCCTACGTTTACCTCTCCATCTTTGGATTCCAGCCTGAGCTCTGTCCTGCATGTGGCTTTCAAGCTGCCAGCCTCGGCGTTGATCTCGATGCCTTTTGGAGCCTCCATCACCAGTGCGCGTGTAGGCGACTCCAGTCTGTAAAAGAAAGCGGAGTTACAGAGCTCGGTGGGTTGAATATTCATGCTTAATCTCAGGCTGTTGTCTTGCACAGTCTGACTGCCCATTGCACGGCACCTTAGGACCTGCTGACATTCAGATCCATGCCCGGTTTACTCAGTGGAAAGAATTCATGCACAGTGTGGTAAAACACATGACAATTCCAGTCTGCTAACATTTCACATCAGCTTTGCTGTGCCGTAAATGCTGGGACAAGATGCTAGGTGCAAGAGCTTCCCCCATGATCAATTTGCTCATATGCAAGACGTGAGGTTTGGAAGGGTTTAAGGGCATAACAAAATCAATAAAAGGCTGAAGACGCCAAAATTCCTGGTCTCCACTCCTATGCTCACATCTCACTGCCCACAGCCAGACTCCCTTGCGCAGTGCTTCGACCTCTCCTAACCATGGATACACCACACAGGGGTCTGACAACCCTGTTATGGCACTGTCCCAACCAGAGGGGAGGGGTAGTAGCCAAACCTTTTGGTTCAGGCAATTAGCATTAATGCTGTAAGATGTAGAAGTTCAAGGTTCAGTCTTCGTTGCTGATTGTCTGCTCATAGGTCTTGTATTATACTTGTCTCTTCTTTATAGTACTGTCTCTTATTAATTTCTGTATTGAAAATTATAATAAAATACATTTTTCCCTCTTTGAGAATAACCTCTTAGTTGATTTTATCACCATTTATTTACTGTACCATCACAAAATCTAGACAACGATCTCCCCAGGTGAAGGAGGCAGGCAGACTGGAACAGAAGCTCCTCTGCTTAGACTGCTTTGGGCAGGCAGCACTGACAAAACCGAAGCACAAGGCAGCACACAACCACTGAGCTTCCTTGGGCAGCTTTTAGGATTTGCTTGCATTACTGCAGTGGCACTTCAGCTGTTTCTCTGCTCTTCATATATAATCATCTGTAAAAGTAAGTGTACTCTTAAATGGACTCCTGCTGGTACTGAGACAACATTATGGGAGACTGAGGGAATTCAGCTGTATTTATTGCAGCCAACAGTTCAATAAAGCAAAGGCACAGTTCCCTCTGCGTGGCACTTTCCGAGTTATGACTTTCTCTCTTGTTGGTGTCTTCATATTGCTGCTTTTTGAACACCTTTCCCTCAAGACCGCAAAATCATCTGTAATTTCCTGGCTGACTCAACCAAATCTAAATTTTGGGGAAGAACTGAGGCATACACAGCCCAAGGAATGAGCATGGTCTCATGGTTAGCAGCCTCTGCACAGTCTTTCTGAGCTGCTTTTCGTTTGCTCTCTGCAGGGAAGCTACATCTTACATAAACCTTCTTCTGATCCCTCCATTGGTATTACCCCTTGGCTGGTTTCTGTACAGGGAACCTAAGGTTAAGACTGCTGCTACTCACTTTTTTTTCTCTGATTGAATTGCAGATTGCATGGTGAAGAAAAAGCTTGCAAAGAATGATTGACATTAAATAGTGCTACCTGGGACATGATTTCCTCTGACCTTCCAATTCCAATAACTGCCTTTCCAATATCTGTTAGAATTTCTTTATGGTAAAAATAGCCACAGCACACAGCCTTAGGGCTCTGGCACATGCACTCTGGTGGCTTTCATTACAGTGGCTTAACACACTGTCTGCCCCACATTTTTCCCTGGAGATTTCTGCCCAGGTATACAGTCTGCTCTCCTCCTTGGTGATGCAGCTCACAAGCTGTTATCTACCCCCAAAAATGAAGGACACTCTGCTTGCACCAAGCTCCCAGGATGTGAGCTGCAGTAGCTGGGATGCGGGCACATACTCCCTCCTCCTGCCTCTGCTCCAGAGGCAGGATCTTCTGGAGCAGAAGCAGAGAGCTGAGGCCAGTAATATCTTAAGTCACTGTAGCTAAATTCACCAGAGGATGTGTCCAAACCCAAGACAGCTGAGCTAATCTGAGGATAAAATAATTCCTAAGAACCATGGCCAGGTGACTCTAGCTCTCTGGCATCTTAGTGGCTCTTCAATTTCTTTGATGTCTTGGCTGTCTCAATGTATTTGTTCACCTGTTAATCTTGTAGCTCTTCTTCCCATTGAGAAATAGATCTTGTAAGTGCAAAACAGTGTTCAGACACCACAGTCCAAATGCCCTCATTTGCTGCAGCAGCAGCAGCAGCTCTCAATTCCTGCTCTGTACTGGAGTAGCCTCCCAGTCCCACACCACTGCTTTACGGGAGAGTGCAGAGAGTTGGGAAACTGGCGAATGTCTTTCCATGGTGGGGGGGATGAAGAGGGACCTTCTTCTTGCGTATCTTCCCCTGTGTACACAGGTCCCCGTAACATCAAACTGAGTTAAATTCATGCTTTGAACAAGCTACCAAGTACCTGGGAGTCTATTAGATAGCAGTGTCCTAAAGTTTTATTCTCTTTTCATATCTGACAAAGTGACTCCCTCCTCCACCCAACAAAAACCTACAGGCAGGATAACAGCGTCTTACAAACACTGATGAAAACCCATGCAATTAGACACATCTTAATCCCTGCAGAGCTTCTTGGCTCATGGAGGCACAAAGGACCCTCTTGAGCAACTACTGATAGTCCATGCTGTGACGTGGGACAAGCACACAACGCTGGGGCTTTTCTGCTGCTCTGTAACCCACCCCAGTCCCTGCAGCACCACATGTTTTTTAAAGTTAGCTGAGCTGACCCCCACTCTGTCATCCTAAATCACTAGCTCAGACAGTTGTAATCTTGCTGACATGCTAAATTAACCAAAACCCATCCCTTTAATGTTAAAAATATCATTTTGAAGCCCTGTGGGGTTTTTTTTAGAACCTTAAAACTATGGAAATGAGTGCAAGTACTGTAACAACAAAGTGCAGCTCTTCCGATGATGAGAAACTTGGGCTTGCAGCCCATATGGTTTTGTACCTGTGCTGTGGATTTGGAGTGCGACTCCTCTCCCTTACATGTTTGATATTGGTGTAACTCTATCTGTTTGCATGGGACTTTTGTCCCAATTTATGCTACTGTAAACAAGGACAGAAAGGTCTTAATAAAATTTTCCTTGGCATTTGAGGGGCATATGATTGTAAAGGATTTAATTTGATTATTTTCTGATATCCTGAATGAATCCCTGAGCCACCTGTCTTTAAACCAGGAGCTGAAAAATCTATGCAAAGCCAGAGAAAGCAGCTGAGGAGTTTATGCTCAAGGGGTTTCAGTAATGTTTACTGAATACTTTCATTTGAAGCAAGTGTTTAAGAAACACTCTGCTATTAAACCTAATTCTATCTTCCAGAGCAGAACCAATTTGGGGACTAATAATGAAAGAAAATGATTTAGCAATGAACAGATAATTTGTTCAAAATCAACATTTGTTTTCCAGTGTGATACTCTGGAGCTTTCAGTAGGATTCACATCTCGCAGTTAGGTGTAAGCCCATGCTTATAGCCATAGCAGTAGGCTCGAAAGGTGGCTGCATGAATATAGATTGTTTCATTATTTGTTCCTGCTCTTGAATTTTCCATCCCAGCAATTGGCACATAAGCCCTTTTTATTGACCATGGGTGCTGCTTATTTTTGCTCCTATATTTCCGGGACCAGATTCCAACCTCTCTCATAGAGCTGGGCAAGGAGGTTAAATTCACTGCAACCCACAGAGTTATAGCTTGCTGAATTCAGGACTGAGATAAGATGCTGCCATAGAATTGCTCCTGTCCGACTCATGTAGTAGGTGGATGAAGGGACAGTCTCCTGTCTGGGTGACTATCCACAACATGGGAACCTCTCCTACAGATCCCAGGGTGTCATGTAAGTCCAAAATTTTAAAAGAAAAGACACAAACAACAGGATTTTAAGAACTATCAAAATACCCAGGTTCCACTTACTACAATGGGTGTTAGGTACTTTTGAAAATCCCATTGAGCACCTAAATGCCATAACAAATCTGACCCTTAATCTCAGTTCTTAGTTCTGCAACAGAGGTAATAGCACTTCCCAACTCCACAGGGAGGATGAAAAGATAAATATATTAGTGGTTGTGAAGCGGTTACATACTGTAATAACTGAGGCCAGGTAAGTACCACAGCCAAAGATAGATGGCTGGCAGATGGATAACTGATCTTTCCAAAGCTGCAATATTAGGCTCTTACCTTCATCAAAAATACTGTTAGTCTTGTTCCTCCCACTGAGCACACTCGGCCTGCATATCAATGTGTGAGATGATGTATGCAGGGGAAGCCTTTCTTCAGCTTACCATGCTTAATGGACAGTGCTAAATGTGCCTCTTAAGCCCTTTTACTCAAACCTATCACCGAAGCATCTCACATTTTAAAGAGAGGTGATGGCATGCGTGCATCTCGCAGTGAACCCCTCTTCTTCTATCGCTGGAAATTCTGTGCTCCTGGGAATCAATAAGGGAGCAAAATTTTTCAGTGCCATCCCTGCTTTGCTTTGAAAACTTCAGCAATAATTTATGGGAGGTCAGCATATGAGTTTGTATTGTGGTTTCAAGTGAAAGTCATTCTCTTGGAAAGATCATTGCTTACCCAGATTTCTAGTTTTCATTTCCTTCATCATACACCATCCCATTAATCACTCCAGAACCATGGATTATATTTCCTTCTTGTCCCCCTCCTCACCCCCTCCAGGATAACGTGTCATTTTGCTTACTACTATGAACAGCCTTTTGAATTTGAGGACAAGAGAGGATATTACAGATGTGAAGGCAGTACCACCAGCAGCTATGGGCTGCTGCTGAGCTTCCAATAAAGTGGACATAATTACCTTAAAAAAATAAATTTTAGTGTAAACAGTTTAGGGGGAAAAATATTTGCCAGGGTCCAGCACTGATGCAAACAGGACTTGCAATTTGTGGCTGGTACCAAAGGCTGCAGCACAGTAGAGGGATGATCCTCAACACGTGAAAGGAGTTAACGTGAGCTGGGGACATATTGCTGCGACTTTTAAATTTTTTTAAAAATTTTTCTTTTAACAAAGAATGGCCTCAAGTGTCAGAATTCCT